AAGGGCAGGTTCTCTGGGGTTCAGGTAGACCATCAAACCCGAAAGAGTTTTCTGAACCCTAAATCCTAAGCCCCAAAATCCCAAGGCCCAAATCCTAAACCTTCCTACATCCTAAGCCCTAAAGCCCGAAAAAGTTCAGAGGCCGCCGAAATTGTCTCATCCTGTCCTTTGCCGCCTACTGCGCCTACTGCCTCCTGTCTCCGCCTCAGGGGTTCAAATTTCGGGCTTAGGGCTTAGGGTTTAGGGCTTTGGGTTTAGGGCTTACGGTTTAGGGTGTAGGATTTAGGGTAGAGGGTTTCGAGTTTAGGGTTTAAGGTTTAGGGTTGAGGGTTTAGAGTGTAGGGTTTGGGGTTGAGGGCTTAGAGTTTAGAGTTTCAGGTTTAGGGTTGAGGGGTACGATCATCCGTGAGGTAGAAACCTGGTCACGAAGCCCTGATCCAAAATACTAGGATTCATATGGGTAGTTCTCAAAATTAAGGTCCCTTTTAGTGTCCTTTTTTATAAGGCTGCCGTACTCTATTGGGGGCCCAAAAAGGGACCCTAATTTAGAGAACTACCCATATCAAGAAACCCTTCACCCTAAACCCTATAACTCTGAACGAAGACCCGGGGTTTCTTAATCAGGTTCCTCGAACTGTATTTTCCCGAAGGTCGACTTCTAGTTCCCTTAGGGTACTGGGTAACCAAGTTCAGGGACTCTACCTGGACCCCAAATAACCTACCTTGAACAGAGGGGTTCGGGGCTCAGGGCTTAGGGTTGGGGGATCTAGGGTTTAGGGCTTGGTTTAGGGCTTCAGGTTTTCAGGGTTTGATGTTTAAGGTTTAGGGCTTGAGGGTTTGGGGCTTTAGGGGCTGAGGGCTACGCCTACCACCTGCATGGCTCCGAGGGAACGCGAGGACGGGGCTGGAAGTTGGAGAGGGAAGTGAAGTTCCTGACTGTTGCGACTGTGGATTCAAAGGCTCTACCCTGCACCCGAAAACGCTGACCGCTTAGCCTCAATATCAAGACCCTTAAACCCTGAAGCCCTGAAACCCTAAAGCCCTAAAGCCTTAAACCCCAAACCCTGAAAACCTGAAGCCCTAAACCCCCTAAATCCAGAAACCCTAAACCTAAACCCTAGAACCCTAAAACCCCCAAGCCCTAAACCCTAAACCCTAAACCCTAAACCCTAAACCCTAAACCCTAAACCCTAAACCCTAAACCCTAAACAGCCCCAAAGCCTGGAACCCGAAGCCCCGAACCGCTGGGCTCTGGTAGGTTCCCCCTGGGCATGGCCTTGCAGCCAGCAAAGTTGCCAGAGGAGGCCGGAAGTTAGGGTCCAAAGAGCCCAACTATAAGGGATGGCCTAGAAGGCCTAGTTTAGGGTTTAGGGTTCAGGGTTTAGGGTTTATGACTATTCTTAGTTCCTCAGCACCCAACCTTCAATTTTTTGGGGTTTATAGTAGTAATCAGAAAGTTTAACCTGTTCTTTCCCTGGCTTATTGGGGAAGTAAGATAAGGGGTTCTACAAGGGTTCTACAACGGACTCGCAGGAATTTAGAGGGGGTTTTCAGGCTCCAAGGGGCATTGCAAGTATAGGAACTTGAGTGACGGATGTTTTGTGTCCATTAACAAATTTGGGAGAGTATCCCCTAAACCCTACACCCTCTAAACCGTGTCTCGCATCTGATTGTTAGGTACTTGGACCCGTATCAGGTCAACGTTGAAGACAGTAAGGGGTTTGAGTCGGAGTACTTCATGGTCAATCCTGTCAATACTACTCGTTCGGCTTCCTTGTACCCAGAGACTCCAAAACACCTTGAACAAGGAATATACTTTAAACTATATAGTAGGAACCGTAATAAGATTTACGGTATGTACCTTAATTCCATGAAAGGATTTTGGAGTCTCTGGGCTATCATCACACAAATAAGCCCAACAGTCTATTCCCCTACGTGTCCAAGTACATTATAATTACTCAACCTACATAACTACTATCCGAAACCTAAGTACCTGATTGTTGAGGCCCCGTCCGTGGTTTGGCTCTTTTGCTTCCCAGCCAGAGTAAAGAGTCCCGATTCCATGGTTTAGGGGTTTGGGTTTAGGGTTTAGGGGAAAAGGAAAGTTTAGGATTCATTGCGGTTTGGGGTTAGGTTTTAGGCTAAACCCTAAACCCTACGCCTTTTTTTTTAGGGTTCAGGGTTTTTAATTTAAGGTTTAGGAGGGACCTTAATCATTCAATTCGGGGTCTTTTAAGGGTTCCTCTCCAGCGCTCTATTAGAGTTTCTGTCCATGCTGGGGTTTCTGGGTAAACCAGAACACGTGCATGGCCTTGATCTGGAAAGTGGACGAGAGCATCGAGATGTTCGAAGCCATGATGTGAGAACTTGTTTGTGGGTAGAATAGATCAGAACATCAAAGCGCAGACGTGGTTTTCGGGCTTCTCGTAGAAGAGCAGCGACGAGATCAGAAGAAAGCTCACTCACGAGGTCGACGACTCGGTCTACTACGATGTCTCGGAATGGCACACGGAAGAGAAAGGGGGGCCTTTTTAAAGCCCCAAGCGGCCCCGGACCCACTGAAATGAATCATGAGGGAAACGTCGTGAACATTTTATTGGGATTAGCCTAGACCCATCTTTAAAATCTTACTTGCAAGTTTCTCGTCCTGTGTGGAGGAGCCGTGCAACCGAGGGGGTGCGGCCCTAAACCCTAAACCCAGAACCCTAAACCCTAAACCCAGAACCCTAAACCCTAAACCCTAAACCCTAAACCCAGAACCCCCTAATCCGAAACCCCAAAATCTTGAAGGCCAGAGCCCTGGTGATTAGTGTCTGAATGGAATCTGAAGAGTGACTATATAAGGGTTTAGGCGTATAGGGCCTATAGGGTTTAGGGCTTAGGGTCTACGGTTTAGGGATATGAAATCTGAACAGTGAATACTCTACAAGGGGTTTCTATGATGCTTTCATAGCTATACGAGCCTTAACAATTAGGCCAGGAGTTTGGTGGTAGAATATCGAATCGGTACATGAGGGGGTATAGGGTAATTGTGCCAGCCCCCAATATTCCACCCAAATACGAACCCTAAGTTTTCAAACTCCAAAACCCAACCCCCGAAACCCTACAATCCTAAACCCTAAAACCCTAAACCCTAAAGCCCTTTAAACCCCAAAACCCCTGTAGACCCCGATGCTGAAAACCATCCCTGAAGCCCGGAAGCCCGTAAAGCACCCATAACCCCCTGTACCTACCAGAACCTACATGTTTGTAGGTTTTCATTATAAACCTAACATAGACCCTACAAGCGAACCTACAAAAAGTCGGTTCTAGTGCCCTAAACCCTAAACCCTTAGACCCTAAGCCCCGAAACCCCTAAACCCCTTAAACCCTAAACCCCTAAACCCTAAACCCTAAACCCAGCCAGACCTGCCTGGCCGTTGGTCCCAGCATCCTCTTCCTGGGATCTTCCCTGGCAGGTCGCGGGAGAGGGGTGGGAGTTTGGGGGTTTGGGGTTTTAAAGTTTAGGGTTTAGGGGTTTAGGGTTGAGGGCTTTTTTACACATAGCCGATGGGAGAACTTTTAATTTTTTGGCCTTACATATTTGGTCCATTTTACAGCGTTTGAACTTTGTTGGGCCCGGTTATTGAAGACGAGAGGGATCGGGGTTTAGGGTTTTGGGTTTTCACGGGCTTTACGGTTATAATAGGATTTACGAGGTTTGGGGTTTTTTAGCAGCAAAGTCGACAATTCCATGAATTTCGAGATGAGGCCCTCGGTGATCACGGCTGGCATGCGCACGTTAAAGTCAAGAAATGCAGATGGAGGGAGCATCAGAATTTGCAAAAGGGGGCTTCCGTAAGCCCTACCCCCGTGGCAAACCTACCCTGTTAATGCTCCTTACGATGATTTCTTTATATAAGAGTCACAGGTTCTTGGGGTCACGGTAAGCACTGCATAGGCCCTAAGCCCTTGACGTCTCCAGGGACTACGTTAGGGCCAAAGTATATACTATTTAGGCACATGGACGCTTTTTGGGGGGTAACGGGATAGCCTGCGTACACCCCTAGCCTACCGCATCCCCTAAACCCTCCCGAACCTTAAACCCTAAACCCTAAACCCTTTCTTAAAAGCTAGCGTGCTGTATGTGGCACGTTTTGACAGCTCTCCCCAAAATGGGGATTCTTGAGCTCAGACTCGAGCAGACGGAAAGGGCCCCTAAAAAAAAACACCTAAACCCTAAACCCTCTAAACCTTAACTCCCGAACCGAACCCTTAGCCCTGCAAGCCTGCAGTTCTAGCAACGTCCCTCGAGAGCAACACCCCTAATACAAGGACCCTCAATCAAGCAATTACGGCTTAGGGCTTCGGGCTTCTGAGTCTAAATCACGAAGTCCCAAACCCCTAAACCCTAAACCTTAAACCCCCACCCTGAAGCCTGAACCCTAAACCCCTAAATCCCTAAACCCTGAAGCTCTGAAGCCTGAACTCCTAATCCCTAAACCCCTCAACCCTGAAGCCTAAACCCCTAAACCCTAAACCCCTAAACCCTGAAGCCCTGAAGCCTAAACTCCTAAACCCTACACCCCCTAAACCCTGAAGCCTAAACTCCTAAACCCTTAACTCCTCGGCCCTGAAGCCTAAACCCTCCACCCCTAAGGCCTGACCCCTGATCACTGGAAGCCCAAGCTCTGCACCCTGCCAGAAGCCCTGAACGGGTTTAGGGTTTAGGGTTGAGGGTTGGGCCCTCATCAAACATCACCCAAAAACGAAAAGACCCGGAACCAAAACCTTCAAAGTCAGCCCATTTCTTAAAAGATCGTAAAAGCAATCTGATATCCCAAACCCGAAGCACTGAATAGAAAACCCTTAAACCCAAGACCCTAAACCCCTAAACCCCTGAACCCTAAACCCTTGAACCCCAAACCCTAATCCCGGAACCCTAAGCCCTTTTGAACCCTAAACCTTAAACCCTGAACCCTAAACCTTAAACCCTAAACAAAGCTCCGCTTCTACTGGAGGGCTCGGTGCTGGAATTCTCTGGTCAGCCCAGGGTTCCTACTTCGCGCGACTCGGCTGGGGTCGAACACTTGGGGATTTCCCTCATTACAATAGGTTTTGGGGTCTATTCCAATATAGTTATAATAAGGACCCCCCCCCCAAAACCCTATTCTAATTGTTGAGGCCCTTATACTAAATTAGGGCCTTTTTTGGGGGGTTCCTTAAAAGGATCTATAATGGTGTCTATATGGCTTCTGTAAAGGTGCTAGATGGGGAGTTCCTTAAGTCAGGTTCTCTTGTCTAGATCCACAAAAGGGGACGCAGCACCCTAATAAAAAGGACCCGAGCAAGGACCCTAATCTAGAGAACTAGCCACGCGTTCTTTTGGTAGGTAGGCCTTTGACACTCTTAGGGAAGTAGGGTTTAGGGTTTAGGGTTTAGGGTTTAGGGTACACGAGTTCTGTCGGGTCCTATACGGGTTCTCAGCAGTAGAAAAGGTAGCCTTTAACCGCGTTAGGGTACTATAACCCCTTTTACAATGCCAAAGGCCAGCGCCAACTTTACCTGTAGGCTCATACCCTACCCCTTTTAGGGTATCTACTTTTCTATTTTCTATAGCAGGTCCTACCCACTAAACCAGGTACCCTAGAAAAGGGGTACGGTATAAGCCTCTAGGTCGTTTCCCTGGGATACTGGACAACTAAGTTTCTGTTTGTTGTCTTTTCAAGGGGTGGAGGTGGGCGATGCTCTTTCGAGCGGGTTTACTTTGTTGGAACAGGTTTTAGGATTATGTTCTAGCTTGTGTCTGATTAAAAGTCTGCTACATAGTTTTATGGTTGTTCCGGTTAGAAAAAACCTTAGAGCTTACGGGTTTCGGTGTTTCGCTTTTCCAGGGTTTAGGCTTGAAGGGTTTGGTAGTGTTCATTTTGTGGGTTTAGGGAGAATAGGATTGAAGACAGCTTTGGTAAAAGCAAAGCCAAGAACACAGAGAGCAAAGGTATCCTTACTTACAGCCCGATTACGAAAGCGTTATTGATCAGGTTGCTACACTGTTACACACATCAAGTTGGTTTCTTCCTCCACAACCAAAAATTGGTTGATTAAGCTATCATTGAAGAAAACCGTATAATTACCATCGATCCCTATTACGGTAACTGAAAATGAAACTCCCTAGCAAGAGCCCAGCAGGGGTGCCGGGGGTGCGGATCGCTTCTCTCGGATGTTTTGGCACGTTCCCTCAAGACACACACTGGAGAGCTCTACTTGAGGGTTTAGGGTTTAGAGTTCTTAAAGAGCCAGCCAGAGAGCTTTGAGCTTTTTAGGCTTACATACGGTCGAAGGTTTAAATCCTGCATTACCCATGATAAGAAATAAACCATAGTTCCCATAGTTTAGGCTATTAGGGTCCTTCAGGTAATGCAGGATTTATATCATCAACAGTAGTAGGTGTATCTTGGAAAGATTGAACTGTGGGTCCGGTTTTTGAAGAAAAGAGTCTGGAAGTCTGGGCCTCAAGATTGAGAGTGCCGGGATGCTGTGGGGTTTTGGGGGGCGGAAGCTGCGGCACTTGAAAGTCTGAGTTAAGGGGCTTAGAGTTTAGGATTTCTAGGGTTTAGGGTTAAGGGTTTGGGGTCGCGGCCATAGGACATAATAATTGTTTTCAAGCGATAGCCCTACAGCGAACGCACCAAACCCCCTGACCCGGGAACAACTTCAACTCCACATCCTGATAGCTGCCGAAATCACGTAAGGAAACGTAAGTTTTAGGGTTTAGGGTTTAGGTTTCGTAAATCCCGTGACCTCCCGAAGCCAATCAAATCGGAAAGCCACGTCCAGGCAAGCTTCCAAGCTTCTTGCGGCTGAGGGAGAAGAGAAGGCAGAGAACCCGCTTCTACTTCTCCCAGAGGGTGTCCCTGTATACTACGGTTGATGATAGAAATCCTGCACTACCCATAGTAAGGAATATGCCGTATTTCCCATTGCGGGTTTGGGAGACGTAGGGACTCTAAGGGGTTCTATAGGTGTTGTACCAGGGTTGATATTTAGGGTTTAGGGTTTAGGGTTTAGGGTTTAGGGTTTAGGGTTGAGGGTTTAGGAGGTAAGAACCTTTCACCATTTCAGGGTACTAGAACTCCCACATAACACCAAAGGCGAACTCTAGTTTTCCTAGGATACTGCACCACCAAAACCCTAGACCCCAAACCCTAAACCCCAAAACCCTAAACCCCTACTACATGTTTGTTAGTTGTGTTTAAGGGGTGGGGGCTGGCGGCTTTTGGTCGGATCGGGGTTGCTTTGTTGGAACACTTCAGGCTACTATTCCCTAAACCCTGAAGGCCCTAAACCCCGAACCCCTAAGCCCTAAATCCTGAATCCTAAACTCTAGAGGCCCTAAACCCCAATCCCCTAAGCCCTCAACCCCTAAGCCATAAAACTTCAACCCTAAACCCCGAACCTTGCCGAGCCGTGAGCCAGAAATGCCCAGACCGCCACTGGTCTTAGGTCATGGCCAGGCCAAACCTGGGCCATATAAAACCTACCTTTTTCGGGCTCCTCGTTATGATTTTGGTTTTATTTGTTTTTGCTTAAGTAGGTAGGTTATCTGAGGTTAAGGCAAACACTGTAAACCCTCAAACCAGCAAGCGCTTCTTTGAACTCCCAGTTGCCTCAGGCTTGCTTGTTTCTTTCTTTGTGACCGGACTCGCTGCATTTGACTTCGCTTGCCTTTTTGCAAGCACTTCGGAATTCTGTCGAGATGGGGTTTAGGGTTCAGGGATGACCAGCTGCAGGAAGCGAGGAGGGGGTGGACGACTTGCAGTAGTAGTCAGTAGTGGGCAGCAGCGTCAGGACTTGGCATACCGTCATGGTGCCACTCGGCGTTCAACCTGCTCTTTTCGGCTTCTAGCTTCGTGCAAGCAAACCCTACGGCTCCAGTTGCTCCCCACTGTAGGTTGCTAAACATCTAGTATGTAACCCAGTAGCCCAGTGTTTAGGTAGCTGGAGCCTAGGGAAACAGCCATTTTGGAGTTTCGCCTACTTGCGAGCGAGATGCTCCGCATTTGGAAGCTCTCCGGGGAAGAGTTGGCTTCGATACCTGCCATGGAGCTGAGCGACGTGAAGGCCTTGAAGCATTCTCTACGCAGGAGGAATGGCTTCCCAGTTTCACTTCAGCAACTTTTCCATCATGGATGCCGGATGGATGATACTTTCAAGCTGGGTTCATGCATGGACTTGCAGTTGGTTCTTCTGCCGACGACTTTGCAGTCGGAAGTTGCAGACGAACTGCGAGCTACGGCCACGAGTGGTGAGGTTGAGGCAGCGCGATGGCTGCTGCGGACAAGCACAGACAAGGACTCTACAGATGCCTTCGGTAGAACTGCTCTCATATGCGCATCTGTTGCCGGCCATGCCCACATCGTGCGCTTGCTGCTGGCTGCTGGTTATGACACCTGGATGTTTTTTAGGACGGCCGTTTACAGCTTTTGCTGCGGAGCCAACAGCTCAACAGCTTTAGGGTTCATGCTTTAAGGTGCGTCCCAGTAGAGCTGCATTCCTAACCTAGGGGCTGAGTGGGTAACCTTGAACCTTATTGGGGTTTATAAAACCCTACTATAATGAATAGGTTAACCTTTTTTGGGCTAGGATACTCAGTTCTACTATAATTAATAAGTTAACCTTTTTTGGGCTAGGATACTCAGACCCTAAGATAAGGCTTGCACCGAGAAGAACCCCTAAACCCTAAACCCT